GAAAAAAACCCTCAAAAAACTTAAACTTGGGCCCCAGCAGTGGTCCTTGAGAAGGCAAAAATGTGAAATTAGTTTACAGTTGGACAGACAGACGAACAGCTAAATGGATGCTGTTCAAAATATCAGCAGAAAAGTTTGAGCTTTCAGCTCAGGTGAGCTAAAGTAAAATGTGTTCTAAAAATACCACCTACATTGTCATTGATCAGGTTCACCAAATCTCTTGTCTTAAATCTAATAATTAAAGCTTGAATTAACTTATGACTACCTTGATTTAGTGTCGCCTCTATATGAGTGAAAAATTCTCGAGAGGGATGTTAAACAATAAACAAATCTTGATTTAGCTATTGTATCATCCTTTTTTCTTAGATCTAATACTTTTTTTCAGCAGGTAAAACCAAAATTTTCACTTTCATGCAATTAAGGTTTTCAACTTTGAACTGTTATGGAAACAATGCAAGAAAAAATTGCATCTCCTTAAAACTTTAAACTCAAGGCTATATTTTGGGACTACTTGAAACAAATGATTTGTGACCACACAGTTACTTCTTGAATGAAATTATAAAGGTCAATTGTGGTCATTAGGATAATTGATAAGTAACAAGTAAGCATATAGTGATGCATTCATACTCAGTCATGCCTCACTGACCACAATAGCATACCATAACTAACAATGGAAATACAGCTTTTGCTTCAAAGTGTTCAAAAGCAGCAATGCTAAAACAATGATTTGGATAGGGTTTTTTTTAATAGTCAATAATACAAATATGAGTAATGATATTCTTGTGACTTTTTGTCTATTTCTCGTAGAAAAAAAAAAAACAAGATGATGGTGAAAAACTGATTTGAAATAGCTTTATCAAACTATTTTGGATAGCTTATTTAAGCTATATAGCTAATTCAACTATATAGCAAAATCCTTTAAGCTATTTTTTAAAGCTGTATGGCTATTAAAATAATGAGATTGTGTGTATATTCCAATCATAAAAAAATTCTACAATTAAAAGTACTTGGGTTCAAAGTTTCAACAAACTGAATAAAACAAGGAGATTTTGAGAATCCTTTCATTCTTCAAAAACCTTATTTCCAGTCAATTTTGTGTTTTTATCAGTTTATTTAACTTAATGTTATACAATTTGCATTGTTAGTTGATTCAAAAATTTCATAAAAATTAAACTTTAAATGATACTTTTGATATCAGAGGTTATTAGATAGAACTTTTTCTCAAAAGGAAAAACATGTTGAGGAGTGACACATCTTAAGTTAATTTGGTCTGACTGTTCGCTGAATGTTACCACTGAGCCCATTTCAAGGGTTCCGATGTTAGTATGTTTTACAAATGTTAAATACAAATAAATATCTGTAAATCAGAAGAAACACTACCTTTCACGAGTAACTGGGACTTTTTAAGAATCAGTGAGATGGCGGGAAATCATGGTGTTACTACATATAAGAACACTTTTCACGATCCGGAAGTTTGAGCTATCGCGCATGGGCCATGGAAGATCAAAAGATGAATTCAAGCATGAAATAAAAAAGTTTACCTTGATCAGTCAACTCGATCTCTGGAGTATTTTTTCAGAACATGTCCAAATGCACACAGATCTCTTAAAATCTGCCCTCTTTTTATATAATACATTAAAATTTTGAAAAATAACTTACTTGCAATTTTATATCTGATTCATGTAATACATTACAGTGGCGGATATAAAGGGGGCGTAGGGTAGCGCGCTCTGTGTTTAAGATAGCAAAGGTTTATGTGCAACCATATATATAGTTTTCAGTACAATTATATTTGAAGAAGACATGCCCGTAAAAAGCAAAGAACCAAATTTTATCAATACAAAATCACATTATCTATTTTCACTATATATTGCAACAAAAATCAGTGGGAACCGAAGGGGCTAATTCAATGTTGTGTTTGGATAAAAGTGGAGGGCAGCCCCCCCCCCCCTTTTCCGATACTACGTGACTGGCATCTATGTATAGTATTTAGTACAAATATATATGCAGAACACAGGCCTGTTGTCCTGGAACAATTGCACTTTGGGTACTTGTAATCTAACATAAATTTTTGACAAGCCAACAAAAAAAAAAAAGACATCAGCTATTAACTTTGAACAGAGTCACTATCGTAAATTAGCTTTGATTTCTGTTATATATGTACTGAAAAATTATTCAGGGAATACGGCTAGAAATAAACTTTTTTTCTATTGTAAGGTAACTAAAGAATATACTGGTGAAATAAATGCCCAAATCCCTCCCATCCACTCCACCCCCGGGGTCCTATGGGTCTTGACCAGTTGTATATTCAACTATACTTCTTCATATAAAACAAATTTTGTTTTACCTTTAAAAATAGTTTTCTATATAAATTATACTAAAATCAAAATGACAGTATAACATTCCCAATGTTTTACTGAGCCACCCCCCCCCCCTCCGAAATAAGGTCGAGGTTGGACAGCAGGTCCGTAGGAAGCAATTTCACCTTGAGAGGGCACAACCATACACTTTCAGTTGGGGGTGGGCACTATCAACTACTTCCTTGACAAGCAAATAAAAAAAGGAAAAAAAGTCATCAGACGTTATGTATTGAGGGGGGCATAAGCATATAGTAGCTATGTTTTCTATAGTATTCTATATATCGGCAAAATTATTGGAGGGAGAGCACCCCCCCCCCCGTTCCTACGGCCATGGACAGCTCAGTAAGATACTGGTTTACGATTTTTTTTTATGTAACAGTTTTGAGAAGGGGCTGAAGTCATTTGCTAGTAACTCGTCGCTAGTACATTGTCTTCTGCTCTTTTGAAATATTTTAATACATGAGCTTCTTTTTCATAAATGGATGAAGCTTAGACTGTACGATTTTGCTTTGATTATGACCCGCCGATGAAAAAATGTCTGATCTTCCCCTGTTCCTGTTTGTAACTACAATGGCAGAATAAGGAGAGAGAGAGAGAGAGAGAGAGAGAGAGAGAGAGAGAGAGAGAGATAACGACAGTTTTCAACAAAATTTTCCTCCTCAAACTCCTTTTACCCTTTTATTTGTGCAATACCCGATTCATCTTTTGAAATATTATAGTTGTGTCCTGTAAATGTCCACTAAAGTTTCAGGATTTTCCATTTTCACCCTGTGATCCAATTAGGGGATCGAAAACGATGTTTGTATGCGAACTGGAATATTGTAGTCGATGTATGTGCAGCGATACTTCAGAATCTTCTTGTTCACCATGTTCACCCTGTAGGCCAAAGAAGGATCGAAAAAAAAGGTTTTTTTTGTTCTCTCCACAAATTTTCTTCCTAAATTTTTCTCTTCACAGTAGTCGATTCCTCCTATCAAATATGTAGATACATGCAATAAGGTTTCAGAATCTTCATGTTCACCCTCAGGACGGACAAAAATCATTTCTCCGAACCCCTTTCACGTTTTTACCAGTAGACAAATCTGATTTCTGGTAGTGGTGTCCTGAAGATGGGCAATAATTTTTTTTTTAGGAATTTTCATTATTGGTATCATCTAACTGCCAACTGGGATCGAAAAGTTTTATTCATTATCAGGATCTTCTGTCTTCAACGTAAGATCCTTCCATTATTCTTGTATCTTTTTCTCTTTTCTTATTATTCTTTTATTGGTCAAGTGGTCCAGAATTTCAAACATCGGGAAAAAATTACTTTTTTTGGTTACATCATTGATCTCTGTTTGCCTCCTAGATGACCAGAAGCAGAGCAGCAGATTTTAAAAGAAATAATGCATTTTCATTATGCATTCAACACAGCTCTGCCTTTACGCCAGAATCCCTGTCCCTGCGGCCCCGCCCTTGCGTCAGAATCCCTGTCCCTGCGGCCATAATGTTCATAATTTCGGAAGAAATACACTTGTTCATCATAATATATAGGGTTGTTTTGCTCGTGTTATTTTCACCCTTTCACATTTGCAGTCAATTTGATCCCATTTTAAATTTGCCTAGACATAGTTTTGATTAAGAAATGATGCTTCTTAGTTTGAATCCATGCTGTTTGAAATTTGCCACTTGCCACAAGGACAAAAATAAAATGGGGGCAAAATTTTCCCTGAATACAGTAACTATGCACTCCGTTTATCTGCTAAATATCCAGAAGTAGAGAAGATGATTTTCAAAGAATTAATGCATTTTCTTTATATAATCAACAGAGCCCTAACCTATGGGCGATGAATCACAATTTTAGAAGATGCGTACTTGTTCATCATAAGTATGCACTTAGTTTGTTTGCTTACTACCCAGGAGCATAGAGGAAGATTTTCAAAGATAAAAAAAATGCATGTTTAACAGAGCCTCACCCTTTAACCAAAACTGCTGACCCAGGGGCCATGAATTTCATAATTTGGACTGAATCACGTTGCTCATCAAGACCATGCAATTGTCTACTGTATACCCAGAAGCAGTGGAAAAGATTTCAGCATATATACATGTGTGTATTAGCCCTAATTTACAGATGATTGATCAGGTGAAAGTTTAAAATAAGCTTCATTCTTAAATATTCATCATTATGTCTTCCATTGCCTATATACGATTCAAAAAAAAAAAAAAAAAAAAATCTTCCATAGGCCAGTGGGTCAAACTAGACCTATTTCTTTTTTAAATAATCACACTTCCGAGTCCACAGTGGAGACTAAATATCATCTACAACATTATCTACTTTTTTATTCATGTTTAAAGAATATTTTAGCCAGGACAACTTCAAAATTATGATTGTTTGCTCTCTCCCAACTTAGGAGGAAAAAAATTGGGTCGGTGGGTAGATGGAAAATCCCCCCCCCCCCCCCCGGAAAAAAATCGACATGCTGAATTTTCAAAATCTATTTTCTCGAATCCTTAAAGAAATAATTGTTTCTTGGATGTTAAAAAAAGTTTTGAGTCGGGCCATTCTTAGCCAGTTGGGCGGGAGAGGGCAACCAAACAATTTTTTTTAAAATGGCCTTACTATAAAATGTTAAGCATATAAACTGACAACAAAATTATCTTGAAAGTATGATTTTATTCTTCTAAGAAAAAAAAAGCACAATTAACATCATAAATAGACCAGTTGCAGGACATCATGTCATTCCTTGGCGCCAGGAAGGAATAGCCCTAAAAAAGAAATAATTCAAATCTACATTCTTCAACAAAGCCAGTATGCAATGGACCAATCTGAATTCAAATATGTCTATTTAATGCATTGTGTAAAAAACACTAAAAAAATCTAATGCACATTACTGACCAAACTCTTTGCTGTTTGATGGACTCAAGAATTGAGCAAATAGGAACTGCAGGTTTTTCTCAGGGTGAAAGCCATTGTTGACTTATCATACTTGTTTATTTATATCATACCTGTGGGGCATATTTAAGACAGGCCCTGACCCTGTCGGTCCCTTGTCCTTCAATCTAGATGTCCAGCCTGCTGTAGGTTTTAACAATCTGTTTGGATCTCTATCCACTTCTATATCAACCTGAGAAAAAATACATACGGATGTGACTCACTGACAGACACATTGTCAAAAAACTTTAATATTAAGTTTTTTAACCTTATGTCCAAAATCATCAATAAAAACCGTTCAAAAACAGTTAATTTAATTCAATACCGTATAAGTGGATTTTTAGCAAGTCAGAAATCTAGTGATTTGTTCTGAAAAAAATGGAATTACATAATTTTAGCAAATAGTAATTTGAGCAATTTCATGATACCTAGAAATCTAATGCCAACTTTCAGTGTGGAAGAAATGGCTTGCAATATTCAATTTTAGTAATCTCAACACTCAATCCCAAAAATACCAAAATAGAATCCTGGCTAAAATTATTACTTATATGGTACATTCATGTATTGTAACATGAAATATGCTAGTTCAGTGTTGGAACATTTGCTGGCAATCAAGGCCAAGAGTTTTCTTACCAACAGCTGGCTTGCTGTTCAATGAAATTTATCATGAATGACAAATGTAAAACACTATAATAAATGTATCTGTTTGCCACAGTTCTAATGTGAGAGCAAGTGATTATTCTTGCAAACTGAAAATGAAACAGACATGTAATGTTACATGACCACAATTTTTCAGGATAAAATGTCTTCAGCAAAGCTCAGTTACATAAAATATATACAAAGGATCTCCCATGATTTGTGGTTGACTATGATTTTTTATCCGAGTTGTGTGTTTTTTATCCCTGAGCCTTGGCGAGGAGATAAAAACATACAATGAGTTGGATAAAAATCATATCCAACCACAAATCATGGAAGATTCTTTTGATCACATATTTTATACATCATTATCAATGATTTACATGTTTTTATTTATGAATCACACTATTTACTTCATGTTTTTAATGCAAAACCCATTGTGACGTCACAGCGGTGAGATATGAAAAAAATTCCAATGAGTGATATCCACGGTATAATGGGGTAAACTTGTGATAAAAAAAACAAACACCAATTTATCAAATTACTAGAAATATGTCCATAGGAAATGAATGCCCCGCCGAGGGTATATTAGTAATGCAACATTTTAACACAAATTGAGAAAAGTGAGGTCAAGGTCAAAGGAAAGGTCAAGGTGAAAAAATATTGATGCAGTTGAATAGCTTACTTCAGTATGTATCAGCATATGAAGTTTGACATAAATTTAAGAAAAGTGAGATCAAGGTCAAAAGAAAGGTCAAAGTCAAAAATTGTTTATGCAGTTGAAAAGGTTACATCAGTATGTATTAGCATATGAAGTTTGATAAAAATGTTATGAATAGTTTCTTAAAAACTTAGCTAAACACTAATTTTACAAAAGTGAGGTCAAGGTCAAAGGAAAGGTCAAGGTCAAAAAATGTTGATGCAGTTGAATAGCTCTCATCAGTATGTATCAGCATATGAAGTTTGATAACACTATCTTGAATGGTTTCATTAAAACTGAGCTAAACACTAATTTAAGAAAAGTGTGATCAAGGTCAAAAGAAAGGTCAAGGTCAAAAAATGTTGATGCAGTTGAATAGCTTACATCAGTATGTATCAACATATGAAGTTTGATTACACTATCTTGAATGTTATCTTTAAAACTGAGCTAAACACTAATTTAAGAAAAGTGAGGTCAAGGTCAAAGGAAAGGTCAAAGTCAAAAAATGTTGATGCAGTTGCATAGCTCTCATCAATATCTATCAGCATATGAAGTTTGATAAAATTATCTTGGATAGTTTCTTTGAAACTGAGCTTTGAACAGAGCTAAACACAAAGTGTGATGGAAGGACAGACGGAAGGACGGACGGACAGAAGGACGGAAGATGGACATGACAAACACTATATGCCCCAGCCATATTCATGGCGGGGCATAAAAAAATGATGTTTACCTGTTCCCTGAGTTTATCCAGTCGTTTTTGTTTCTGTATCTTTTCAGTTTCTTTTTCCTTCTCCTTTGCTAACTTTTCTTGCATTTTCTTCTGGTCCTAAAAGTCAAAACAAAAATTCCTGCACAATACATCTGGCTTAAACGTGAGAAATCATAACTCATTACAGCTCAGCAATTAAGGAGTCTTAGTCTAGAGGAATCCTTATCTCTAATTGTCTCAAAGGTGCATACATTATACACGTATATGTTTTAAGGAATATTGGTCATCAGGATAAATAAATTTTCTGTAATCTTGTCATTCAATCATATTTAGGCCCAATTTTCAATCTACTGTGACTTTAAAAAAGCACATATATTTTCTGTTTAAATTGTTTTCTATCTACATGTATATCCCCCCCCCCCCCCCCCCACACACACATATCCCCCCCCAAAAAATCTGTAAAAGTTAATTGTCATTTGAAAAAAAAAGCAACAAAATGGAAACTTTTTTAACCAGTAATGAACACTTTCATGCTAAACATAATCTATCTTTCCATTTAGTAACAATTGAAAAATGATGAAAAGGACACATAAAAAAAATAAATCCAGTTACACCAATAAGTGATTTTGCCTATCTGTACATGATTACGGTAAGTCTGCACATAATTTGTAATGCAGCAGAATATACAACTACATTTTTTGAAATTGAGACAATAACTGACCCTATCCCTGAATCGGTGAATCTCCCTCGCAGAGATCTGTTTCTGTCTTTCTCTGTCCTCCTGTTCCCAGGCCCTCTTCTGTTCCTCCAAAAATCTCTCCTCCTCCTCTCTCTCTCTCTTGTGTATCTCGACCTTTTGTTTCAATTCAGCCTATATGATAAAGAGCATAACATCACTACTTTCTGTTTGAATTCAGCAACTTTTAAAAAGCACATCCCTACTTTCTCTTTCAATTTTTTAATGAATGTTTCAATTCAACCTATGGAGAAAAGCAAAATTCCTCCATATTTATTTTAATTCAGCCTACAGGTATAATGAAAATTACTAATCTCCAACATTTTTTTCTGTTCCAGTTCAGCGACAGCATCTCAAATCAACATACTAAGATAAACTTACATGTAGATGCTTGTCAACAATAAAACATTTCATATCAGAGCAGTTGGTATACCTGATACCATCATTCATAATTTTTGTAAAAGTTTATTTACAATTATTTTTCAGAATTTTTTTTATATATATGGATCATACTATAAATGTATGTTTACTTAGAAGAATCATTTGAAAAGGAAGAATCTTAAGATAAAGTGCCCTGGCACAGCATGATTTGTCTGTCAAATATTGTTAAATTATCATAAACAATTTAAATGTGTGTGTGTGTGTGGGGGGGGGGGGGGGATTTAGAGTGAATAAAAATCAAGTCAACCTTGATACAAAGATTTCAATGATTTTTCCATTCCTTATAATGTTTGATGTACATACATCTTCTGTGGTGTAGGTACATGTACTAAAATAATAAAAAATAATACATCATATATTTCTCAACTGGTTGTGTTAGAGCTTAACAAAAGCCTATCTGCAGCTTTGCTAATTATTGTATATTTTATGATTGATTAACAATGCTTCAACCTAATAAAACATCTAAACAAATTATGTTTTATTCTTAGAATATAAATTTGTCATCTTTGTGAGACATGACACTCTGCAATTGGGTTGTAAAGGTATAAAAATTGATAAATAAAAAAAATATATTATACAATATCAAATGAGTTTTAATTATATTTCTGCTATCAAAATTCTCCTTGACCAGTGCTTGATAATTACACCCATGAGAGAAGTGGAATTTTTCTTGTAACATTACATTTGTTATAGATTGCTGTAAAGTATATAATGAAAAAAATATGTATTTTTTTAATTCATCATTTTTTTTAATAAGGATACTGCAATACTCTTACATCTTTTGGGATTGTGTAATTTCAAAGTTAAAGACATAGATTTTTAAAATTTCACTTAAAGGTCACTGTGATGCATTAATTGGCTATGTTTAATGATTTGAGGTCTAATAGTTTTCTAGTTATGAGCTTGACAGGATTTTTCCATATTTGGCAATGGCATCTTAATTAAAGATCTGAGCGACCTACTTTTAATGTGTGACACACCTTCTATCCCAAATTTAAGTTATGAGCCACACACAAAAAAGCTGATAGACAGACAGATGGCCATGAATGCCATAACATACCCCAGGTAATATATCCCGTCTTAAGATAGGCATATAAAAAAGCACTATTCTCTTTATTATTATCTAAATTCTTGTTTGTGAGACCTTTTCTTTCTTTCTCTCTTCTTCTTTCTTTGCTTTCTCTAATGCAACTCTCAGCTTTTTTTCTTCTGCTTGTGCCCTCTCTAGTTCTTTTTGCACCTGAAATTCCAAATTCATACAAAAGTCAGGTATGAATCTCAATAATTTCATAACACAACAGGAACTATTTCCTCTTTTGAAACAATGTCTCTAGAATTAAAAATTTGAAAGATGCAATTTTTAACAAATTTTGCAATAAATTATTCATTTATGGCCATTGCTCTTGAGTGATTTATTACAGTAAATAAAAAGCAATGACCATCCTTAGTTTCTACATACCTTCCAAGCATTCAACTGACTAAATCTCTGTCTTTTTTCCTCTTCTAGTTGCTCCTTTAATCTCTCTTGTTTTTGTTTCTCTTTTTCTTGCTCTTCTGCCAGCTCTGTCTCCACTTTACTTAGAACATCCTCTTTTTCACCCTTTTAATAATATATTGACAAATTTCAAATATCATACTGAATGGAAAGGATTCAAAACTTTTCTTTGAATGTTTTTTTTACGATATTTACCTCTTTTCGCTCCCTCCATTTCCGAATGCTCTCCTTCTTTTTCTCATTCATGGATAGATATGTCTGATACCACTCCTCATGATCTCTGATTTCCTCCTCTGTTTTAGTTGGTATGGCCACCAGTGCATGTTTTATAAAAACTGTCTTTCCCTGAAATTCATTTTTAGATGATGACTCTGGAGGTTCAAACAACAGAACTCCAAAAGGGTCGTTCTTAATATAAAGTTAAGAAATACATTCAAAGCTACAAATATTTTATGCAGTGGACTTTCCTGGACATTTTCTAACATTCAGTGTAAATGTAATAAATAGTCTAATATCTGGTAATGTATAAATTTTAAATATGAAAAAAAAAAATCTTCTAAACAACACTGGATTTAAAATCTCAAATGCTAAGGAGAGATAGCAAAATATGCAAAAGGGCACAGTTTTCAAATATGTTAATGTATGATTCATTCAATCTGTCTCTCTTTGAAAAAAGGGGGGTGAATGTAACAAAACCGTAGAGGTCCTCTTTTATGAAAAATGTCCTTACCTTGTATCTGTTCCTGAACTTGAGGAATGTACCATGATCATATTCATCCCAGCCACCTCTTATACCCCCAGTTTCCTCCAGAAATTTCTGTATTAAAAACAATTCTTAAAAATCAAAGTCAAATAAAGAGGGAAAAAAACTTCCTTGGAAAAATCATAATTTTCAAGTAACACACATGCTCAAAGAAAATATGATCTTGTCCTTTTAAATCAATTTTTTCTCATTTTGTATCCATATTTTTGTGAGAAAAAGAAATAAATTGAAACAGCTAACAAATTCAAATTATCAAGCCTATGACAGTGAACTAATTTTAACATTTAAAACCCAATGCAGTAATAAGTAAAAATTACATACAGTCAAACCTTGTTATCTTAAACTCGAAAAGATCAAGAAAAACTTTGAAATATCTAAGAGGATTCGAGATATTCAGATTAAAAAACATTGAGAAAAAGTGATTGGGACTCAAAATCACTTTGACATATCCAAAGTATCTGAGATATCAGTGTTCAACATGCCAAAGTTCAACTGTTTGTGGGAATGAGAGTTAATAGTGTACAATCACTCCTATAAGGGTGTCCAACAAACTGAATTACCTTAAATTACTATATTTCTTTTAATAACATTTTTATGTTTCATTGTGTTTATATCTTTAAGTGTAAATATCTGTATCTGAATATCTACATAATAACTAAAGCATCTAGTTTTGAAATTTACATGTACAAAGTTCATCCTTAAAAACAATTTAAGATCTACAGTTGAAAAGCTATAGAAAAAGATACTTGTATACATGAAATTGACAAAGCATTTTATTCTTACCTCAAATGCTGCTACCTGTGGTGGCAGATCTTTGGTGATGTCTCTGGCACTCGCTAATGGAGCTGATGGAAGTTTATTTTTACTGTTGGATTTTTCCGAGAGTTGACTCCAGGCGTCAAACTTCCTCTCCAGAGCCTGGATTTCCTGAGACGTTATTCTCTCATCTCTGATTAATTCTTCATAACTATAAGAGTATAATGTATAGGAATACAGAGAATTTCTGATCAGATTATTATTTGAGAATAGTAGAATACATGTAATCTTTAAAACTAAAGAAAATTATTATAAGAAGGGTTTCTCATTATCAGTGGAATAAATTAGGATTTTTATGAAGGCAAAGTACCAGTAGAAATTTTGTACAAAAAAAGTATATACTTATAATCTCTGCAAAACATTTAAAATTGTACGGGTATTGAGTTATTACCGGCACATTGATTTATTTTTCTTTTAACTCTCTAGAAAAGCTAGTTAATAAAAAGAAAAGGGATAGATTTCTTTCTTTATTCCTCCACCTGGCAATTTTATTTCCCAAAAGTTCTCCGAGATAAATCATATTTAACGAAATCATACATTTTTTGCTTATTCTCTGTGCAACATTAAAAAAAACCCTTGAAAAAGTATTGGGCCATTATCAACAGTGTTAATATTACTACTCACTGTTTTCTTTGGTTTTCTTTAAAGCTGTTAATAGTACCCTCTATCTCTTCCATGGTCACTTTCAATTTTTCTACAACTAAGTTATCAAGTAATTGTAATTTACTGATCAGATATTTTAAAAAACAGAAAGTTTTAAGTATCAAGTAGACCTGTAAACATGTACCTTTTTTTGTCTTACAACTATAACAGAAGTAGGTTTGAATTGGTGTCCTAGCCAGAAAAAAGGCATACTGTAAATCACTCTTTATTTGTGAGAACTTTATATTTGTGAAAATATGTGAGTCCATCTACTCATGAAAATTTCATTCTTGCATATATTTTTATTATTAAGATTTCATGCAACAATATAATGAGAATTCATGAAAATTTTGTCTCGCTTGTAACTATTTTATGACATTCTCACATAATAATAAGTAGCCAAATTTTTGTGATCTACAGTTTCATTCCTATTCATTTGCAACTGACTTAAAAAGTACAGTCAAGCCTCGTTATCTTGAACATAATGGGACCAAGAAAAAAATTTAAGATATCAAAGGATTCGAGATATCAAAAGTAAATTACTTAAAGAATAAGAGATTGGGACTTCCAAATCACTTCAACATATCCATGGTATTCGAGATATCAGTGTTCCAAATAACAAAGTTAAACTGTACATGTCATTACCACTATATTTGTTATTTAGAATAAAAAAAAAAATTCTTCATTTTCTAATGGTATGCTGTCATTTTAATAATTTACTGTTTTAGGAAAGAAAAGAAAAAATAAATTTCATATCTACCCAAAGTTGAAAAAGAGAAAAATGATTATTAAACTCTTACTAAGACTATTGATAAAAGACACTACATGTAAAAGTCTGACCAGCTTTGGTGCCTAAATAAAGAAAACTTACATTCTGGTGTTGGCTTCACGTCTTTCAACTCTTTGTGGAAGCGTTTTACCATATGACCAATCTTTTCAAGTTGTTGTTTCACTTTTACCTCTACATAAAAATAAAGAAAAACTCAGTTATAATGAACTCCTGCAGACCTTTGACTTTACTTTGCTATATTCACTATTCGTTATATCTGTATCATCAATGAAATGAATGAATTCACGATACACATCTTTTCCTTCGAGTAAGATTACCAAATATGTTCAGGAAGGTATTATATATATTTATTTATTTCCTATGTAGCTTGTAACATGAGATTTGATTGGTTAGCAAAGTAGTGTAAATTTCCATAGACCTGGCTTGAGCCAGGGATAAATAATGTGACGTCACTATGCATAGCTTATCACAAAAAGCAAATAACATGATGTCATGATGCTATGTAGCACCTAGTAAATCTTATGGATAGTTTGAAATACCATTGATTGGACTTGGGTTTACAAAGAATTTATTTGGTTACATAGGAAATAAATTCATTATCTAGGTCCAGTCAAGGGTGTACCTGAATTTACTCTGGATAAACTTTCCTTGGGTAGTACAGATTTCTAATGAATTGAAATTCAAATATAAATTGAATAATTTGATAACTAATCATTTGGTCAACAGTTGTGCCAGGTTTGGTGACCCAACATATATATAGAAGTCAATCAGGCTCTAAGAAAGATCCTGAGAATTCAATGATCAAGCATACAGATGTACAAACTTTGAACAGCTTAAACCTAAAATGCCTCAAAAGCCTACGTTCTGACTTGATTTCTGCAGTCATTTTGGAATCCAATTCTTCAAGGGAAGCAAAGTCATGTCTGAATTCACTCCTCTTACTGTACAGGTGTGTTGTTTTCTCACGTTCCATAGCTACCACTCTAAATAAGTACGCATGTATATTGAATTAGAATTTGTAATAATTTAATTCTGATTGTAAACGTGCCATTTGATTGGATAAAACATTTACTTTAAAATCATATAAATTGGGTTGCCTACGTCACAATGACTTGCATGAAATACGTATCGATCCACATTTAAATTTTGTACAATTTGAAGTCATTTTTTTTTAAAGGCAATCATCTTTTTTCTTACATTAAATGAATGAAAATTAAATTAGAAGGAATGAAATTAATAGCTACTCAATTTATATGGTTTAAAGTGGGTTGGAACAGCTTACGCTTTTTTATAAATGGCTAAGCGGTTTATAAAGTGTAAACTGCCCCAACCCACTTTATACCGTATAAATTGGGTAGCTATTACATTCATTCCTTAAATAATCTCATAATTGTATTTTGTAATTTTTCTGTCATTCATGTTACAACATATTGCATTTATACATGTAAAATCATTGATAAGAAAATTTTTACACAACTCACCAAATGAAAATTATCTATGACTGTTTCAACCAATTATATGAATTTTCTACATGATGTACACTAGCTTAACTCATTTTATCAAAATTATTTTGGAAATCTTTCAGTAAAATTTAAGTGAAATGCAGGATGCAAGCATACATCAGTCTTCATGCAAAGTTGCATAAAAAACAGTCATTCAAATACAGCAGGTAAAGCACAACTGACTGCACTCATTGAAGTATAATGTACCATCAATTCAAGTTTACACCTAATCTCCATTTACCTAGATCTGATCTCTTTTCTAGGTAGATTTGATTCCTACTCTAGTTAGATCTGATCTCACTCTACCTAGATTTGATTCCACTCATAAAAGCAGTAAAAGAATATCTCTTATGATGTGATGAATCCCTGGAACTACCATTAATCATACATATGCAGCAATGCATCCAAAGCATAGTGCCTGTAGCCATGCAACCACAGAGCACTTATCAAATGTTGTGTTTCTGAGTCAACACTCAAAAAACGGATCAAGATATTGGAACAAATGCCTTTTACCAGCAGCCCAGTTTTCAAGTACAAATTTTCATTATCATTTTCTTTAAAATTAAGTTGACACAGGGTTCAACACTAACTTTTTAAGGCTTTAGTCCAGCTGGACTAGTGCTTTATTACTTATACTAGTCCACACGCGATTTTATTAGTCTGTCAAAAAAAAAAAAAAAAAAAAAAAAAAAAAAAGAAACATCAATGTTTTTTAACATTAATTTAACGTGACAATTAATATATGTATTATTTTTTTGAAATAAACAAAGTATTTACGTGAAATATATTATTCCACAGATTCATTGAAATCTCGCAATCAGCAAGTACGATCGTATTCCCGATCTCGTTTTTTTTTTTTCTTTTTTTTGTCTTTACATTACATCAAAAACGTCCAACATCTTTCTTAAAAGTGTCGTACTAAATCATGATTGCTAAAACCTTATACTTCATATCGATCAGTCAAAAAATTAAGCGCTGAATTGACCCAGCATTGCGTAACTACCCGCCAAAAGCTAGAAATCTAAAAATACACACGGGGTTTTCCAGTAAAAGTTGTCGAGAATCGGACATCGGTAATTTATTCATATTGTTTTTCGGAAATTTTTATTGGTCCGTTCGGACTAATGAGCCATATATTTTATTAGTCCGAAAGAAAATGTATTAGTCTGAGACTAACGGACTAACGTTAGTGTTGAACCCTGTGACACATACTTAAATGTTTATGAAATATAATAATTTACTAACTGTACACTTAATTTCCGTAACTCTCTGAGGATTTCACCCTTCTTCGCTTTTTCCATTTTGTTTTTCCATGCCAATACATTCTTCTCTCTCTCATCATTCTGAAACAAAATAGAGAAAAAGTTGAAGGTTCAATTCCAGAAAAAAATATGCAACATTCTTCAGTTGCAAACCTTAATTTCATAAAGATCATCTACTTTATATTAATAATTGTGCACTCGCAATTTGCTAAAATTGACTACTTGTACTTAGTACCTTAAATACTAGTGAAAACATTTTTTTGTTTTTAATTTATAAGCATTGCAATATTTGGACTAGGAGAACTATGGAAGCAAATGAGAGGTTTATATGGCAATTCACTTCAATAATAAACCATGATATCATTACAATTGCCCCAATTGCCTTGTCATGGTGTTTCTGTGCATGTCTGAAGCTTGTCTTGTACTTGACATTTTCCCCCAAATCAGCAAATGCATCACAAATAACAATCAAGACATTGATAGAAATATAATTATTACATTGATAATGTACAAATAATGATAGCTAAGAGTTAGTTAACACAGTCTTTAATGAATCACTCATAAAAATCATCAAAAATCTTGCAAGCTTTTTCACCTCCTTAACCATCGCCGCCATGTTGTAAACAAAGGATTTTTAACAAAGTGTACACTACCATATTCGTATCATAATTTTAAAATATCGCGTAAAAGTTGCTTTACTCTAAAACAGCACGAACACTGCAGATTAACCAACTTTAAAAGATGCTTTGCTACTTTTTAAATAACTCTAACAGTGCTCTTTTTTCTTTTATCCTTAGAAACTTTTAAAGAACATGTTATCTAGTATGCAACGTCAACATTTACTACTTCCGCTATTAGAAATGGCTCCTGTGTTTACAACTGTCAAACAACTTGTTGAGGAAAATTCAGAGCAACAGTTTCTTGATGCAGCCAAACTATTGACTAAGTTTGCAGACAATATTATAAATAACCCAAATGAATCGAAGTACCGTAAAATACGGCTTGGGAACCCAACGGTGGAGTCTAAACTTCTCCCAGTGGTTGGGGCACTGGAGTGTTTATTTGAGATGGGCTTTGTAGAAGTAATAAGCATTATTTTTTTTATTTTAAGATTTTTTAAAAAAAATAGCTCATGTATTTCAGACGGCATGGCCACTTGAGCAAGCAAATCCCACTGTATTTGTCATACATATTCTAAGCTTGTGCAAGTGTATTTTGCATGCAATTACTTGAATTGGTGAAGTCACATTTGTTCATTGATCTTTAATAGTTTCTTTTCTCTCAATGTCTCCTTAAGTTGATGTTTTTCACCTGCATGTTAAAGGTGAAAATCATTAGATCTCTTAATTTTTCTAACATAGAGGAACACAATCATAATAAAATTTCCATCAAGGCAACTGTGGCATTATCAGCAAAAAAAAAAAAAAAAAAAAAAAAAAAAAAAATGGGGATCGTCACCTCATGATGCTTTGATATGATATTTAATGTATATACTGAGAATTGATACATCAAAAATAGATGTCTTTTGATTTAACTGAAAATGTTTATTTTCACTCCAGGTTTAAACATAGGTGATAACTGATTTATGAAGCTCACCTTGATGAATTTCATCTATAAGTAAGGCAAGGTCTTACACCAAATTGAAATGAATGTTTTGGTAGTGTGCAGCTCTAGATGCAACATCCATGAAAGTCTGGGTAGGACTTACAGTTTCTTTGGAATGTACCACCTCCTAAAATCTTTGTATGTTCAATGACATGAAAAATATAAATTACATGTACGAGGGGCATTTGAAAAGTTCTGAGAACTGTTTAATAAATTATTAACCTTTTAACAGAAATTACTGAATTTGATATCATTGGACAGATCACAAAAATGTACACATATTGTGACGTCACTTTATAATTTTATTACGTAATAACTCCGAAAATGACGTCAGAATCTCGAATGTCTAGCATACTGACCATAAAAATGACGTAACAAGAGACACAATTTCAGTAAAGTAAATTTTTAAAGTCAACTTTTGTAAATTACTCGGATGCAAGCTAACGGACACAACTGCCAGTTGGAAAAATGTTTACACAGATTACAGTCTATCATATGAAGTTATATTCAGGAGCTCTTATAGTTCTGAGATAGTTTAAGAGTGTGTCAAACAAAGCATGTTATTATCGAATCTCGCGCAAAATATTGGGTGAAAAAGACGATGCTGTGAGAAAATCACAAAGTTGACAATCACAGGAGAATAGTGGACGGTGTTACAGAGTTTGCTGGCATTAATTCATCAGGTGTTTTAACTAATTTTGCAGGAACGATTAAAGCTCAAGAGAGGTTAAGCTAAGGGTGTCCTATATTTTTTTGTAAAAACCAAAATGGCGCCAATGTAGTTCTGACCCCACCGTAACTCAGTATGTTCAAAAATTTTAAATCATGGAAAATAAATAAGATTGTACATGGCAATGAAACTCAAATTTATTTTTTTGAGTTGAAAGTCAAAAGCAATAGTGTGTTTTGGATCGCTGAAGTTGAAATAATATGAAAAAATATGCACAGAAACAAGTCCGGGGGAAGACTTTTGTATGTCTTATTCGTAAACAGTAAGAGCCCTGATACTCAAAATACATTTGTGGAAAACTGAATTATTACACTTCAGTTTAATATAGAATATCTTTTATTTAATATAGTGGAGAGCTATATAATAGACCGAAAATCCAGCTATATCATATAAATAAAAATCTTTTATAAACAATTAAGGTAAAATTACAGTTCTTATTAACCAAGCAAAATAAAAAAAAAATAAAATATGGAATTGCTGATTTAGCTTACCATTCTTACAGTCTTGTTCTACCTCCATGCAAATTTTCTTTGAAATATCTTTTCAAAGAAGCCTTTGACAGCACTTTTTCGATGTTCTCATGTGAACAAAAAACGCGACTTTTCAGTATGCTAAACATTCAAGATTCTGACGTCATTTTTGGAGTTATTACATCATAAAAATAAAGAAAATGACTTCACTATAAGTGCAAATTTTTCAGCTCTTTTCAATGGTATCAAACTTATTAACGTCCATGAAATGGTTAATATTTTAGCAAGCAGTTCTCAAAACTTTTCAAATGCCCGTCGTAGATGCAGGTTTAGTAATATACATTCCATATTCCCTAGATGCATCATCCATGTAAGTTAAGTCCAAGTAGACCTATAGTTAACCTGGAAAGGGACCTAAATTTTTAACCTGTCATTCACATGGAAAATGAAGGTCAAATGCAGCGTTGGAAGAAAGTCTGGTAGTGTGCATCATCCTTGCAAGTTTGGTTATCACAATAGGGCTTTTAGTTTTTGAGGATGGACCTGCTCCGAAACCTTTAACACGGTCATTCATAATTATGGAAAATGTAGGTCACATTCAGTATTAAAAGCAAATATGATAGTGTCCTAGATGCATGATGCAAGTTTGGTCCAAGTAGGGCTTATAGTTACTTAGGAATGGACTGAAGGTGTAGCATAAGCTCATCTGGACATTGTTGTGAGCTAAAAAGTGTGCACATTGTTTATAATAAGAAAAAGTTACTCTTTAAACTAAGGAATGGGTAATGGAGAAATAAATTACATTACATGTATCACAATCTGTTGTCTAAGTACATGAATATAGTTTTGAATTTTAAATTATTTCTGATTATTACAGGATGGAGAATTCTTGACTCTACCCCAAAACACATCATTGGCAACAATCAGAGAAATCCGCTCCGAGTTGAATAAATATGTACAATCATTGGAAAAAGTTAATGGACCTTCAACTTCACAACCTGCAGCATTGGGAACCCCTCAGCAATCACCTTCCTCAGGGACACAACCCAATCCATCATCCCAAACACCTGTTTCCTCCACCACACTGCCAAATCCATTGCAGAACAAGTCCCAACAAGAGATCAATGTAGATTTATTTATTCATATTTCTCTTATTAGTAGATGAACATTGGTATCTTAAGCACTGATACATGTATGTAAACTCAGCTATCCTGACAGTCTCACCATGTTTAAGATAGTATTTAAATGCATTTTGAGGCTGAATATTATTATTAACCATTCTTTATCATGTGAACTGAAAATCAAAATGCAATGTGGTTTTGAACTTAAAATGCTAACAAAACACACACTTTAAGATTTTTACAACATTGAAGACTTTGTAATAATTTCTTCATATTTGATAATTTTGCTATTTCAGCAAATGGAAAGGAGTTTCTTCACAAAAATAGAAAGCAACCTTGTACATGTCTTGTTGTATGAAGATCCTAGACTGCAACAGAAAGCAAGATTAGTAATTCCATTGGAAACCCAGAAAAAAGAAGCTCACGATAAATTAGAAGCAATAAAGAAAGAAGACAGCTCAGCTCTGGCAAGCATTGACTTTAGAGACCTTATGTTACTGGGGTTACTGTCCTGGTTTAAGAATTCCTTCTTTACCTGGGTGGATGCACCAAAGTGTGATGGTTGTGGTGGGGAGACTAGTAATGTTGGGATGGTAGAACCCACTCCAGAGGAAATCCGTTGGCAGGCCAACAGGGTAGAAAACTATAAATGCAATCAATGCCAAAGGTTTGTGAGATTTCCTAGGTACAACCACCCTGAGAAGCTCCTGGAGACCCGGTGTGGGAGGTGTGGAGAATGGGCCAATTGCTTCACTCTTTGCTGCCGAGCGGTCGGTTTTGAGGCCAGATATGTGCTGGACTGGACTGACCATGTCTGGACAGAGGTTTATTCAGAAGTTCAGAAAAGATGGCTACACTGTGATCCATGTGAAAATGTTTGTGATAAGCCTCTTCTGTATGAAGCAGGGTGGGGCAAAAAACTGACATATGTTGTAGCATTTTCCAAGGATGAGGTTCAGGATGTTTCGTGGAGATATTCTGCTAAGCACTCTGAAATGCTGAGTAGAAGAAATGAATGTCGGGAATCTTGGCTAGTGCAGGTTATTCATAGGTTATGGAAAGCTAGGGAACCAAGGAATTCACCTCAGAGAAATGAGGAAATGAAAAAGAGGCTGCTGACAGAATTAGTGGAGTTCATGACTCCAAAATCTAGTGCAGGCCAAAATTTGTCAGGTATAATACAAAGTGTAGGAATTACTATTAAAATTTTATAAACAATTCAGATAATATGATACCTGGTTCATTCATTTGCTTTATTTATGACCCCCAATTAATTGATATGGAGTCATATGACTACATTCACTTACCAATACATATGTTCTGATAGCTGCCCATCTATATTGTTGTTGGTCTTTCTATCTAATGCATGGGATATATTTTAGTTTCTATATCCTGCGATATAGGTACACTGTACATATAATTTGACTATGAACATCAACTTAAGAATCAGGGTTTTCAGGAATCATCTTGCTATATCTAATATATCCTCAAAAAATGAAAAATATAAATGATTGCCATATTTTGGAATGCTTATTTTGAAATGTTAAGATAAAAACAAATATCTGATTGTAGAAATTAAGCATTATATGTCATATGTATATTAACAAAGCCATTTTTAATCCAACAATTTGCATTTATTAGGGAGAACCACTGGCTCTTTGGCTTGGCGACTAGCTCGAGGCGAGACGGGGTCCCAGTCGTCATCAAACACTGAACCCTATATATTTAAACTCACTGATAAGGAAAGGGAGACCAAAACATTCCACATCAAATACAGCTGTGCCAGGGATGAGTATACAAGAATTTCCAGCAATGGAAAGGTGACCAAATCATACTCAGCCTGTGTAAACAAACAACAGAATATATTCAGGAAAGAAGAGAGAGACTGGAAGATGGTGTATCTGGCCAGAACAGAGGGATCAGCCACTGCAGCCATCTCCTGGAAATTTGATTTCTCTGGTGAGTCGACTATTATCTGGAATGCATTTATGCTTAAGCAACATATGAATGCATTTTAAGGAGATATACATGAACAAATTGTACTTCAAAATTTAACTGATTTTTTTTGTTATTGTTTAAAGGAATGGAAATTGACAGAGTTGAGATATGTACTTCTAGTCAAACTTTTGAGGATGGTGTTATATCATGGCGTCTTTGTAGCAAAAACCAGTGTGCCATGTTGACCGGTGAGAATTTGTTAAAGCGTCAATCAGTGTTCAACATACATGTTTCAAAAGGATGTATACTTATGAATTCAGAATCTTCCTCAAATAGATTCTATGAATATCATTTATTAGCAGGCACATAGAATGTATTGGAGGGGGACACTTTTTTCCAAACATTACTTTTTACTATTGAAAATGTTCATTGAGAGGCTGGTCCCCCTCTGTTTGTTGCAGAATTGTCAAATTAGGGTAATGTGGTAATGTATGTATAAAATTTGGTTAAAAGAAGTTGGAACTTTAACCCCCCCCCCCCCCCCCCCCCTCCCCCAGTAGAATTTTCGAGTTCAGACAATTTTCTTTTTTTTATTTTTTGCTGGTCAATTTTTTTACAGGCAAGTTGCATCTTTTTTCTTTGGCTCCCCCCCCCCCCCCCATCAAAAAAAAAAAAAAAAACTACGTGCCTGATTAGGACCAGGTTAGAAACAAAACTAAGCTATTTGATGATATGTCTTACCAATAAGTCAAAAAGTTGATAAGAAAATGGATTTATACATTCCATGTTAATCCTGATTCAGATATACCATATAAAAGGAATTTTTAGCGAGACGCAAATTTAGTGATTTATCCAAAAAAATTGATATATATTTTTAGCAAGAAGTAATTTTAGCCATTCTTAATGTCAACAAAGATAGCTTTAACAACTGATGCGGAATAAACTGTCAGCAATATTTAATTTAAGCGATCTCAAAACCCTTGCTAACAATACCAAAATTAAATCCTCATTAAAAATTCTGCTTATACAGTAGTTATTGGAAAAATCCTCCAATTTGGGGGAAAAAACAGTACAATTTTCATACTGTCATTTGACCAACCTCAATTTGAAAATCAGCATACCTTTTCAGGGACATGGTAATAATTTGTTCAGGCTTTTGTAATAATGGAAGACTCAAAATTTCAGACTGAGAAATAAGTTGGGGTGGGGTATGGTGAAGTGGGGGGTGAGAGACTTGAAAACTCTTGAGCATTTAAATATCATTATAAATTTCTTTTACATATCTCATCTTAGATAGGGTATTATGGGAGTAAAACTGTATTTACTGCAAGTCAGTGTCACTTTTACAGGCATTAGAATATTGGAAAGCTTAATTTTTTCTGTTTGACATGAATATACTGGTACATGTACCGGGGGTATTTATTAGAAATGTCAAATATTGAGTAAAATTCTGATCTTGTTTTAGGATGTATGCATAATTGCATATGAGTACTTGATAGCTTCAGCTCTGTTTGTAAATTGATTTAATTTTTAACTTCCTGAATGTTTTAAAGGGGGATAACTTATGAAGGAGTGATATGTTCATGGTGTTTTCCTTTTGTTTTTCTTTGTAAACTTTCAATGGAGCTGCTATTTCAGGTGCTCCAGAAGTAAAGTCATACAGTGACCTCTCTGGTGCAGAGGAAATGACACTGACAGCCATGTTGAGTGGAGGAAAAGGGGATGTTGCCTGGCAACACACACAGCTATTTAGACAGAAGATGGACAACTCTATATTTCACCCCCTGGACATTAAAGTCTACTTTAAGTAGATGAATTATACTACTTGATTTTTATATAGGAAACAAGTGCATTGATGTCTGTACTGAATTTAACTTGTATATATAATTTTCTGATTTGTTATAGTTAATATGGTCATATGGATCATCCTCACAACATCAGAAGTCCTGAGTCCACTTGTGACCATGGGACCCCTGGCAAACTTCACTTGGTTTTTTGGGCCAGCTCCTCTCATTGAGAGCCACTATTGAAATTGGGGGTTTCATAAATTGACATAAAAAGTAATCGGAAAGTAAGCAGTTGACACCTCAATCTATGTGTTAGAGATTGTTTTTCACTGAAAGGCTTAATGTGATTGGTTGAGGGATAAGAAAAACAATCAGGATTTTATATTTTTCTTGAAAGATGCTGCAGTGAGCCTGTAAAAAAATATATGAAGTTAGTTGGGTGTCCCATGGCCATGAGTGGACTCAGGACCCTTGATGTTACGAGGATGAATATAGATGCATGTACTGAAGTTTTCAATCTTTCTGAGAAAGAGTTTTGTTTCTTAGACATTGAATTTTGGATTTGTTGAATGTAGGTATGGATTTTCAACCTTTGAAAAACATGCATACATATAAAATCGCAGTAAGTGGCATTATATGAGAGCATTATCATTTGAGACCAAAAAGTATCAGGCAATAATTTAATTCTGGTTGTAACGCTGTATTTGATTGAATAAAAAATTTACTTTATATCGTATAAAATGGGTTGCCTATGTCACAATGACTTGCGTCAAAAACGTATCGATCCGCCTGACGTTACATTCAAATTTTGTACAAATTGAAGTCATTTTTTAAGGACAATCATCTTTTTTTCTTACACCAAATGAATGAAAATTAAATTATAAGGAATGAAATTAATATCTACCCAGTTTATACGGTATAAACTGGGTTGGAACAGTTTACGCTTTTTTATAAACCGCTTCGCGGTTTATAAAGCGTAAACTGCCCAAACCCAGTTTATACCGTATAAAATGGGTAGCTATTAAATTCATTCCTTAAATAATGGGCAATTTCTTCTGTAAATTGCTATAACACTTTGTACATGTACATACTTTTAAAAAAATTACAATGTCTCATTATTTCCACAATGGATTCTACTTGAAAATTTAATTAGATTTCTTTTTTTTTCACACAATTTAAGTGGGCATTCTTGAACTGTAATTCCTCTTTGTGTATATACATGATAAATTATATACTAATATGTCCCACTTTAACCTTGTTTTCCACACTATTCTAAGTGGGCATTCATGATTGGTAATTCCTATTGATGTTTATGTACAGACTAATTTGTCCCACTTCAACCAAAATATGGGCAAGTAAGAAAAAAAAATCGAAATCCTGGCTAATGAAAGGCTATCTTGAGAATTAGCTAATCAATCTATATTTTGTAGAACTGACTAAAAACACTAAGCAAAAAAGCCATGGCAATTATTTGTCCATGAAATACAGTAAAACAATGAAATGCTTAAAACGAACCCCTTTTAATGAATCCATGCTCATATTGAAGTGATTTTCATTCCATATGGGCTTTAATCCTATTGTAAACTTAATGGATATAATGAATAACATTTAAAATGAAGGAAAATTCCTCATCCCTAACACTTCACTATAAGCCTGTTTTACTGTGTAATGCATTGGTTATGGATTTTGTATGCTGTAGTGATAGAAATGTACTTTTTCATGATTAACTTACAATTATTTTGAACCAGTGAAACTAATCAAGTAACCTTCTCCATTCTGACTTTAAGTATAGCTCATGATACCAAATGTATGAATGTCTGAAAGAGGGAAGAAAGGTGACAAAGTTTTGTGAAAAAATATTTATTACGGTATATACAAGTTTTGTGAAAAAATATTTATTATGTTATATACATGTTCATTTCACATCAACAATATTTCAACCAATTGGTGAAAATTATATTTATATTGAAGTGATGTCTGTTTTTGAAAACATTTTTTATAATAAATTTCTTTTGGAAAGAATGTGACATTTGTTGTTTTATTTTATGTAGAATTTCAGTACACATCCTCAAATTGGAAATATACACAGGGGTTTTGTTTAACTTACAAACTAGTCACATTAAAATTACCTGTAATAAATTTTAGAAATATTTCTAACACAGGCCATAAGTGTAAAGTACTACATGTATGTACAATGTTCAGGTCCTCCTCTCACTGTTTCTAACAATTCCCATATTTGGCTTCTAAATAGTCTACCCACTGCTGTAGTGTTTTGTTCTCTACTGTTTCCTACAAAAAAGAAGAAATCTCAAAACTGAGTAATTGTTCCAAAGCATGCTTCAGTAATTTTGAACATTTTCATTAATGACAGTCTTTACTAAAATTTAGTACAATAAAACTCAGTTATTAAGAAGTCATAGGAACCTCATATTTTAACTTTCCTATAACAGAGATTCTCTATATCCACATATTAAGAAACTGTTAAAAAGTCGCCAAGGGGATTCATGGACGTTTCCTTATAAACGAGATTTCCTTAAAAAATAATCTTTATAACTGAGTTTAAATGTGTATGATTTTTTTTATAAATAAATTTTGCTTCTAATGTAAAGTCTGTTATATAAAATACTTCAGTTTTAAATAATATTGCAGCAATCATGATTTATTGGACTAAAGTCAGCACCAAAGATGATAAAAAAGAATTTTCTGAAATAATTACACAACACATTTATGGGTACATACATGTACAGTATGGATACAATACTATGACAGAAATCACATTTGACTAGGCTTTTCTAGCCCTATGCATATTTTCTTCTTGAATTACATATAAACATATGGTTATTTCCCTATATCAGTGACTTTATAAGTATGTCATGTATACTAACATCAACATCCATAGTGTTTTCCTCTCCATATCCCCCATGTACACTGACCAGAGAAACATTACCCTCCTGGGGGTATGTCTTTGGTACAGACAAGGTACATATTACTGTACCCCTTTTCCCCATGAGGACCCTTACAACACCCTCTTCCTGGATCCAGTCAACTGCATGCCTGAAGAAAAAAAAAGTTTCAATAGTTAAAATGTAGCATTATTAACCAAATTTTAACAAGAAAACCTCATTATCTCAAACTTGATGGGATCGAGAAATAACTTTTAGATATCCAAGGATTTGAGATATCGAGGGTAAATACTTAAAAAATAAGTGGTTTGGACTTCCAAATCAGTTCGACATATGCATGGTATTCGAGATATCAGTGTTTGAGAAGTTATGTATTGTACAAATAATACAGATTTTTTTCACCATTGATGACAAAACCCCAAAACTCACAGGTGTCTTTCTTATATTCTACTCTCCCTGTTTGTTGAATATAATCTCAAGATTATACAGAAGTTATCAATAAGTTATTAATAACTTTATATAAAAGTGTTACAAGAAATGTGTAAATAATTTAGGTATTTTGACCCTGTTCTACTATAGTGACACCAAATTCTGTTTTTTTTTTGTTTTGTTTTTGCACAATTATCTATCTATTTAGTAAATAATTTGATTTCATTTGATCAAAAAATACTCATTGACAAATTATTGTGTAACAAATATTCCAGACAAAAAGGATGGACATGATAGTTGATTACTACAGTAAAACACGCTAATGAATTGATGCTTACTGCCAAGTGATTTTCATTCCCTGTGACTTTAATATATATCGTATATTGACTTATATATATTGACTTAACGGACACAATGAATGACATTTATAACGGAACAAAATCATCCATACCTGGCACTTCATTATAAGCATGTTTTAATGTATTGGGATCTCACAATTTGATTACCAGAATTATGTTATTACCAGAATTATATTATTATTACTGGAGTTATTACCTGATTTACATTCTTATTACTAGAATTGAATTCTAATTACCGGTACCAGAATTACATCATTATTAATACTATAATATAATGACATGTAAACCATTATTTTTTTTAATTAATATCCAGAAAATCCATTTTAACTATTTCACAACAATTTTTCAGACATCATACCTCTCTGAGAGCTTTTTGACCTCTGACACAATGGGATGATAGGAAATCCAGAGTTCTCTCAGTGAGTGAACCAGCCAAACAGGGTCATTTTTCTGGACGGCCACTCTGATTAAGTCCTCTGTGGGCAGTGACTGGACATTCACCTGTACAAATTGTATATATTCATAATTATGATGTAAAAGCTGAGCTAAAGCAAGTCTTTGAGGTAAAACTATACTTGCTTCAAATGTTATTAATGATTTTTATTCTTCCATTCAACACAACTGCATTTTTTGGACATTGTATGTACATGTAAATATAAACCTAATTTTATGTAAATATGTAGTTGATTGCTTGTTCCATTCCATTTGATCCACTTTTATCAAAATTATAGTCCTTGGATTAATAAATTTCACAAAAATTTACAGACTTTGAAATTCCTTCTATATGTCATTATTAAACATAGTAACACAAGGGAAAATAACTTGCAGTTTTATATCAGGGATGTATATACTAATGGTATAGGCAACTTCTTTAGCACCACTTTTATTTGCCAAAAATGTCACACACAACATTAAAAAATTTTCAAACTATGTTTATTTCCAGTAAAAATGTTGGTGCTTCATAAATGTAATCTTGTAATTTGTATTCATTGCTTATGCCTAATTATGGTGATAGATTTTTAATAAATTTTAAAACATACATTGTAAAAAAAATTCAAGTATAATTAAACAACCAACAAATTTCTGTGAAATCTCGGAAATATGGCTGATCAGGGACACGTCTTCATTTTGAAAATTAAAGATAATAATATTGAGATAAGGAATATAAACAAATGCAAATTCATATTTTGAATAATTTTCCAATCGACAAATAAACATTTTGTTCTGATATACCTGATTACATTAGAGATGATTTAAAATTGACAAGGGAAATCCTATAACTTGTGAGACTTTTGCAAGTTGCCTATTCCCCTTAGTATATAGGTCCCTGTTAATATCTGATGTATTTACATTAATTCTTAACAAAGCTGCAAATTCAGAATTCCAAAAAGTTTACAGTGGAGCTTCGGTAATCTAGATGCCAATATTCTAATTGCTTCACCTTCCAGATGAAAATCGTGGGGATTAGAAATTAAATTTATTTCTACCAATTACGAAAGGTTTGTTGCAGTTATGTAGATCGACACAAGTGTTAGGATTAAAGAGGTCCAACTGTATATGATTATGGGTTATTATATACACATTGATAATTCATTGTTTGCATAAATTCAAGCACCCATAATTGAGTGCCAAGGAAAATGTACACAGAGTTAAACATCAACTAATTTAAGCCTAACTTTAACTACAAAGTATTGTTACGTGAATTGTATTTTTAACTGTTGAAAAATTCATGAAAGATGCATTTGTACAGATTTTGCTAACAGATACATGTACTTGGTTGATTTCAGAGAGGTATGATAAATTAAATAATTTTTAGATATATTCAGTTTGACCTATTTTTATTAAATGATTTGTAGCCCTTGACCTGAAAATATTATTAAATTTATACATATATTTCTTTGGAAAGGGATTTGTGCAGTATTCACAGGTGCATCCAGATATTATTTTTTATCACCTGTCAAGAGTGTGCAAATCTTGTAGTTAAATGTCACTGCCATTTTACTGGCAGACATTCATATGTATAAAAATTGTTCTTTATGAATTCCTGAAATGTTATTCAAAAATGTACACAAACAAAGGCCATTTTAAATGTTACATGTCTGTCTTCAAAGAATGGCTGTTGGCCTACTTTCTTTGGATAGATTATTTTCCCTTCACAGGACAAATGCAAACATAAAAACCATTCATGTGTTGTCTGCACTGCAGAAACATGGGGAACACTTTGTTTGTCTGTCTGTTTGGGAAGAGTCATGCTTTCATAAAAATGCCATCTGCAGACAACAAATGTTAACACAATCATTAACTTACATGTAAAGTACAGTTCAAACAAAAAATCACAATCATACTGTAATACAGTAAATACAAGCAAAAAAAATTCAAATGCTTCGTAAAAAGTAGCTACCATATAGCTTTACTTTTCATGCATTTTTAAAAAATCCTTTATACAGCTGTAAATGCAAAGATAAGCACTAAACTTACGTAATATCTGTAGCCAGGTTTAACCTTAAAAAATTTGTATATTTTCACAAAGATTTAGAAAGGTCATATATACAAATTTAAGCAATGTTTATGAAGTATAATTTAAGAAGTTTATGTGCATACTCACTTTTCATGATTTTAATTACATTATAAACAAAAGGCCCATGGACCACATTGCTCACCTGAGCACTTTGGCTACGAAAAAGCAGAAATCAGTTTAGTATTTAAAAGTTTAAAAAAATAGTCGTCCCCAGGGAGGGGGGATTTGAACAAACTTAAATCTACACTACCTGAGGATGCTTCCATATTTCTCTGACTCATGGTTTTAGTACATTTCTTCAAGAATTTTTCCTATACATTTGATCTTATATTGTGGCCTTGCCCTAACCCATGAACAAAATTAAATCTACATTACATGAGGATGCTTCTGAAATAATTTGACTAATAATGGCTTTTCTGTTCTTGCGAAAAATTTTAAAGATTTTTCCTATGTATTCCTATGTAAAACTTTGATCACCAATTGTGGTTCCACCCTACACCCAGGGGGTCATGATTTGAACAATTTTAAATCACTACCTAAAGATACTTCAATATAAATATGTCTTAAAATGGCTTTGCTGTTCTTGAGAAGATTTTTAAAGATTTTTCAATGTATCCTAGTATGTAATAATTTGATCCCCCCACTGTGGCCCCACCCTATTCCCGGGGGTCATACATACTTATATTTTCAGATGTTTTCAATAAGGAGCAATGCTCCTTATTGAAAACATCTGAAAATATAAGTATAAGTATAAAAAATTTAATAATATTGCTCCTTTAAAATATTCATGTATTTGTTCTTCAAAATTTTTGGAAATAGATCTAAAGTAATTAATATGTATTTAATTACATTCTTCAAAGTAATTGAGAGTAATTAATTACATTTGTTAAAATCAATGTAATTGTAATTGCAAGTAATTGACAAAATTATCAATGTATTTGAAAGTATTTAATTACATTTCAAAGTAATTGACCCCAACCCTGAGGAGCATTATGTAAGTAGATTGGGGATTATAAAAATTAAATTTGCAAGTTTGGTCAGGACTAGCAATTTCAGGTCAGGGCTAGTAAAAATTATGGGATGTAGCCTGACTGGTCTAGTACTTATTAAAATTTAACATAAAACCCTGCAACCACTTTTACTTCTTTTGAATTAACCACCATCTTTCATAAAGTTCTGGAAAATTTTTCATTTTGAATCTCTGCTTTGCATTTGCTTTGCTCTGTCATTTTTTGTTGAATTCTGGAGTTTTCAAACTTTTCTCATCATCATATTACACATTGGATTCTCTGCCATTTTATATATCGGATTCTCCACCATTTTACATGTCGGATTCTCCACCAGTTTACATGATGGATTCTCCACCATTTTACATATCGGATTCTCCACCATTTTACATGTCGGATTCTCCACCAGTTTACATGTTGGATTCTCCACCAGTTTACATGTTGGATTCTCCACCAGTTTACATGATGGATTCTCCACCAGTTTACATGTCGGATTCTCCACCAATTTACATGTCGGATTCTCCACCATTTTACATTTCGGATTCTCCACCATTTTACATATTGGATTCTCCACCATTTTACATGTCGGATTCTCCACCATTTTACATACCAGATTCTCCACCAATTTACATGTTGGATTCTCCACCAGTTTACATGATGGATTCTCCACCAGTTTACATGACGGATTCTCCACCAATTTACATGTCGGATTCTCCACCAGTTTACATGATGGATTCTCCATCATTTTACATATATCATGGGATTTGCCACCATTTTACATATATACATAAATTTCCTTCCCTCCCATACCTCCTCTCCCTTACCACCCCATATCAATCACAACCCCCATCTTACCAACCCTTCCCCATCCTAACCCCTACCTTCCCACACCCCCCATACCATCCCACACCCCCATCCCATCCCTCTTCCCATCCCACCCTTACCATCCAATCCCTTCCCATCCTCTTCCTCCCGTTCTGCTTCCAATCCATCATTCCCATTCCATCCCTCTTTCCATACCCTTCCCTTGCCACCCTTTCCCTTCCAATCTCACCCCTTTTATTCCCATCCCACCCATACCCCTTCCCTCCCATCCCATACCCCTTCCTCCCCACTTACCCATTCCCCCTTTCCCAACCATAATTTCCCTACCCTCCCTAATCCACCCCTACAATCCTTCCCTTCCAAATTCAAACCCAGGCAATCTTTAAAAAATTATTTGTTTGCCCTCTTACGACCATCTGGCTAAAAATGGCACGACTCAGAAAACTTAAGATTACTGGAGGGACGGAGAGAGGGGGGCAAATTGTGACTGAAATGCATGCAGTCTTGAGCTCGAATGACAAAACACAAAGAACGCTTTACTTTTATTATCATTACAAAACCAGTCATACAGGTATTCCTACTCACTCAGGTAAAGATAGAAAAACATGTTTGAAAAAGAAATCGTACAATTTCTAATTTTAGATTTTTTCAACCTGTAATAAATATATTTCAATCCCTCACTTGGAGTAGGGGGTGTAGGTGTTCCAACTTCTTTCATGACCAAATTTTCTTCACATATTACCACATTACTCCGATTTTGACTATGCTGCAACAAAAAGTTGAAGGCTGCCTTTCTATGAACATTTTTCTATATTAAAAGGTTATGTTTGGAAACAAGCAAATTCAAAGAATTGTGGTCCACTGCTTTCGGTGTCTTAGTGAATGGGATGCCATTATTTGTGGCATATTGTACTGTCTTATTTGATTATTCTGTCTTGTCTGTCATTATACAAAAGATACATAAATAATTGAATTTATAACAGTTATGGCAAAGATTATAGCTTCTCAAAACTATGTCGAATATCACAATAAAATCCGAAAGGTCTTGTCACAATTAATGCACATGTGAAAAAATTTTTCAAATACCAGAGTATACAGTAGGAAAGGCCTTGAAACAGGTAATGCACATGTCAAATGTAAATGCCATATATTCTCTGATTCAAAGGTTATTAGCAGTGTTAAATTTTTTGGAAAGTAGGTCAAACTTCAAGGTCAAGGTCATGGGATTAAATATCATAGTACATTTGGAAATGCTTGACACAGGTAATGCATGAGTTAAGTATGAATATCCTATCTTCGCTCTTTCAAAAGTTAGCAACACTGATGAAATGTTTGAAAATATGTCAAACTTGAAGGTCAAGGTCACAGTGTCAAATATCATAGCACATTTGGAAACATTTTGACACAGGTAATGTACTTGTCAAATATGAAAGCCCTATCATATTTCATTCAAAAGCATCACCAAAGTAAAAAGTTTGAAATTTAGGTCAAACATGAAGATCAAGGTCAAGGGGTCAAAAATCATAGCATGCTCAGAAACACCTTTTCACTGGTAATGCACATCAGGGGCTGACAAATCCCAATGCCCGACGCCTGGGACTAGTGAATTTTGGGGATGGGCAAGTGAATTTTTATTAACCACTTGCCCGAAGGCAAGTGACTTTTTCAAGAAAAAAAAAAACAAATCTTAGTTTTAAGTAGAAATGGGCACATGTAATAATCATTTTTTGTCTCCCTATTTTCATAGTTTATGGTGGGGAAAGTAAAAATTCAGGTAGGGCAAGTGAGTTTTGACTATGTACTTGCCCATGGGCATGTCAAATATGAAAGCCCTACCTATTCTCAATCAAAAGTTATGAGTAAAGATATAATTTCAAAAAGAAGGTCAAACTTCAGGGGGGTCAAAAACCATAGTATGTTAAAAAAAAACCTTGTCACAGGTGATGAACATGTCTAATATGAAAGCCCCATCTCTTCTCATTCAAAAGTTATAAGTAAAGATAATATTTTTGAAAAGTAGATCAAACTTCAAGGTCAAGATCACGGGGTCAAAAGTCATAGCATATTTGAGAAGGTCTTGCTACATGTAATATGCATACATAATACAAAAAAACTATTTCTTCTCATTCAAAAGTTATGACCAATTTATTAATGTAATGTTAATTTTTTTGAAAAGTAGGTCAAATTTCAAGGTCAAGGTCACAGGGTAAAAATTCATAGCATATTTGGAAAGGTCTTGTCACAGGTAGTGTACATGTGAAATATGAAAGACTTACCTCTTCTCGTTCAAAAGTTATGACCAAGGTTAAAGTTTTTGTGACAGACAGAATGACAGACGGACAGACTGATAGACAGATGAATGAGATTTAATGTCCCCTCGCTTTTGCAAAAGTGGGAGACAGAAAGTGGGGGGCAAGGCCCACTTGCCTGACCAAATTTTCTTCATACATTACCACATTACTCTGATTTTGAGTATGCTGCAACAAAAAGTCGGGGTGGGTGGGGGTGGGGGGGCTGCCTTTCTATGAGCATTTTTCTATATCAAAAGCTTATGTTTGGAAAAAAGTGGGGGGCCAGGCTCTGGGAACTTTCATTAACAAATTCATTTGTTGGACATATGCAAATTCAAAATCAGCCTGTTCTTGCCTTTCTGTTATCTTTATACCATACCAAGAAATTCTGTCTGGTCTAGCTTTAAGATCAACTCAATAAAAGTGCAATTAACACTAATCACTTATCTTCCTCAAGAGCACATCCCCACAACCTCTGGGGTCCTAAGTCCACTTGTGGCTGTGAGACCCTGACAAACTTCATTTGAAAGCAAGAGCGATGCGAGACAAAGAATGGCAGCAGCTTTGCAGGTTAAAATCTGAAGTTGTTCAGCTTTCTTCGTTAAAGCCGTCTAAACAAAAATAGGAGAAAGTGCTGATGGAAAACATGTGAGCTTGACGCCGTGACTTATGATCTTCTTTGACTTTCAGTTTACTGGGAACCTTCAAGTCTTCTGTGATTTTTTTTTATATTGTTCTTTTTTTAGCTCACCTGAGCTGAAAGCTCATGTGAGCTTTTCTGATCACCCGTTGTCTGTCCGTCTGTAAACTTTTCACATTTTCAACTTCTTCTCAAGAACCACTGGGCCAATTTTAACCAAA